ACAAGAAAAGAATATTGATATCCTAAAGGAACTTATTATCGCCGTTGCATCAACTGCTGCATTGACGTTCGTTCTTGTTGCGTTGCTGTTCTGGTGTTGCTTTAGACGCAATCGCGGTAACGCGGTTGGTTCTAGAGATGGACCGAGAGATGAAGGACCACTATTACATTTAGTTGATTTACAAGCTGGTATGGTGTTTTTTTTTTTGTCAAAAGGGTTCTGGTTTTTCTTCTTTTATCCGAGAATGTAACTCATTTTTTCGGTCTTTTCGATCTTGTAGGATCTAATGAGAACTCTCCCACCGCCGCCGCAACCACGAGCAGGAAAATGTTCAGTGCTAGTTCCAAAAAGAGGTCGTTTCTTTCAAGAGTATCATTTAAGAGACATGGTAATGAGTTTTCGACAGGTGATGTGTCATCCTCTGGACTTCCTCCATTGAAGCTTCCACCTGGAAGATCAGCTCCTCCTTCGGCTCCTCCTTCGGCTCCTCCTCCGGCTCCACCTCCAAAGCCGCCGCCACCTCCTCGTCCTAAACCTCAGCCTCCTCCACCACCTAAAATTGCTCGTCCTCCACCTGCACCACCGAAAGGTGTGGCTCCAAAACGTCAAGGAAATAATTCATCAGGAGATGCATCCGATGTTGATTCCGAGACTGGAGCTCCGAAAACGAAACTAAAGCCGTTTTTCTGGGATAAAATGGCAAACCCTGATCAGAAAATGGTTTGGCATGAGATTAGCGCTGGTTCATTTCAGTAAGTGCTGAATTTGAATCTTCTTTCTTAACCTTTTGTTATTTGTTTCCGGACTTGCCTTAATCGCATTCTGCTTTTCAGGTTCAATGAAGAGATGATGGAGTCTTTGTTCGGTTACAATGATGGTAACAAAAACAAAAATGATCCAAGGAGAGATTCAGGTCGAGACTCTCCTGTCCAATATATACAGATAATTGACACAAGAAAAGCACAAAACTTATCGATTCTTCTTCGAGCTTTGAATGTAACAACAGAAGAAGTCGTTGATGCCATCAAAGAAGGTTGGTCATATTAATCTCACTATCTCTTTTCTCTAATTAGTTTTTTACCATTAGTGGTTTGGTTTTTAAAATGTAATTTCTTCTCTGTTCATAAGGTAATGAGCTTCCAGTTGAGCTCCTACAAACATTGCTAAAGATGGCTCCAACTCAAGAAGAGGAACTCAAACTTAGACTATACTCAGGTGATCTTCACCTACTTGGTCCCGCGGAACGATTCCTGAAAATTCTTGTCGATATACCTTTTGCATTCAAACGTATAGATTCACTTCTATTCATGGTTTCACTTCAAGAAGAAGTCTCTGGTCTCAAAGAATCACTCGCAACTCTCGAGGTAAGTCACTCGCAAAAACCCTTAAAACGAAGAATCTACCATCATTTGTACCTTCTTCTATACAAATCTGTGTGTGTTATGTCTTGTCTCAGGTGGCTAGCAAGAAACTGAGAAACAGCAGACTGTTCCTAAAACTACTAGAAGCAGTTCTCAAGACAGGGAACCGAATGAACGTCGGAACTTTTCGTGGTGACGCGCAGGCTTTCAAACTCGACACTCTCTTAAAACTCTCTGATGTTAAAGGAACTGATGGCAAAACCACACTATTACATTTCGTTGTTCTTGAGATCATTCGTTCTGAAGGAGTTCGTGCTCTTCGCCTCCAGAGATCAAGCCGAAGCTTCTCGAGCGTTAAAACAGACGATACTATCGCAGATTCAAGCCCACAATCAGTCGAGCGTTACCGAAGCACGGGTCTTCAGGTCGTTTCGGGATTAACCATAGAGCTTGAAGATGTTAAAAGAGCAGCAATCATAGACGCAGATGGATTAGCTGCAACATTAACTACTCTAAACGGCTCACTTACGAATGCGAGAGAGTTTCTGAAAACTATGGATGAAGAGAGTGATTTCGAACGCGCTTTAGCGGGTTTCATCGAACGCGCAGACGCTGATATTAAATGGTTAAAGGAAGAAGAAGAGAGAATAATGGCATTAGTAAAAAGCTCAGCGGATTATTTCCATGGGAAAGCTGCGAAAAACGAAGGGCTACGTTTGTTCGCTATCGTACGCGATTTCTTGATAATGTTGGAGAA